GACCCCACAGTCCAACAAGCTGAGGACGAAGACGCTGCGCAACACCCGGAACCCGGTGTGGAACGAGACCCTGGTGTACCACGGCATCACCGACGAGGACATGCAGAGGAAAACCCTCAGGTAAGGCCAGCAGGAGCCCAGGGGTGCCACAGGGTTGGGTTTGGGGTGGCCTCACCCACAGCACCACCGCCAGGAGTGCAGGGGGGTTAGGGCTGTGAGAAATGCAGTTTTGGGTTGAAATCAACATGAGTTTGGTCATCTGGATGATTGTTTGAAGAGGACTGCATTTTGACTTTGTAATTTAATAGTAAATTATTGATTTTGCTATGATTTTTATCATCATAGAGATGTGCGTCTCTGCTGATTTGACAATAACCTAGGGAAAAAAGTCCATATAAATATCTCTTTCAATTTATGGCTCTTTTCCCCCTCAGAAAACTTCCACCTCTTGATTTCTTGCCCCATCACAAAGCAAATATTAAAAATGTTGAGGTTTTTTTTTTTTTTTTTTTTTAATCAAGACAGAAATTTGGGGGTTGACGGCTGTTGTTCAGAGGAAATCCACATCAAGGGTGGGTTTGGGGGACTTTGTTTTGTTTTTCCTTCCCCCCAGCAGTACCTCTGCAGGGATGGGTTTGGCTCTGGAGTCAGGCACTGCTCCAGCCTGGTTATGTTCCCCTTTCCCTCTTCCCTCCAGGATCTCCGTGTGTGATGAGGACAAATTTGGCCACAACGAGTTCATTGGAGAAACCAGAGTTGCCTTGAAAAAACTCAAAGCCAACCAGAAAAAGAACTTCAACATCTGCCTGGAGAGAGTAATACCAGTGAGTGTCCATGAAAATCCCTTCTGTTCCCTTTGGAATTGGCACCTGAGAGATGCAGGGATGGGCTGGAGGTGCCTGACTTCCCTGGCACCTTTAGGAGTTGTATTCCCACCTGTGCCTGGGCTGATGTGACATCCCAAGGCCAGGAGATAAGAGCCTGGTGGGAATCCATAGGAAGAGACTCCAGGGCCTTGCTCCTGTTGGCATTGCCAGCCCTTGGGGATGGATGTCACCGTGGAGGAGGGCACAGGTTGCTTTGTCCTCCGTTGAATCCACTGGGATGGGGATTGATGGAGCAGATGGAGATTCCTGAGGCTCTTCCAGGAGCTGGGCTGCATGCATTCCCAGGGTTTTTTTTTGCTGTGGGATGGCTCCTCTCCCAGTCATTCATGGCATTCTCCTTGTCCCTTTCTCATCCCAGACGAAGCGTGCCGGAACGACCGGCGCATCCCGTGGGATGGCTCTGTACGAGGAGGAGGTGAGTCCTTGGAGCAGCACAAGCTCCATCCATGTCCTTTCCACCATCCCTTGTGTACAACCCCATTGTCCCCCTGTCCCAGCAATCCCACTTTCCTTGATGTCCATCCCATCCCTCCTCCTCCACGCCGACTTTTCCCTCCTGATGCAAGAGAGGTTCCTTGGCACAAGAGATGGCTTTGGAGGGAAGTAACTGAAAGGAGAACAGGGAGAAAGAGGCAAAATTAGGAAAATATAATATTCAAAACCAGCTCTGACCTTAATGTTTTGTTTGCTGCACCTTCATTCTGAATGGAATTATCAAATGGGCAATAATAACCCACAATAAAAATAAATAATAAATAATTATATATACGCACACACATAGGTGACATAAATTATAATTGAAACACAGTCTGCTCTGTCTCGTAGAAAACAAAATTAATTTAAAACAAACAAACAAACAGAAAAAACTGACTGAAAACTTGACTTTGAAAACTGCACTCTGATCTGACAGAAGCTTGGCTAGGAGAAGGAAAAATTAAGGCAAACAGCTGAGCCAGAGGAGAGATGTGAGGGAGGAAACATTATTGCCACATTTGACGCCCACCTCTGTGGTGGTGTTCACAGGGGTCCCAGGACGAGGGAAGAGATGAGAATCTTGACTCGGTGTTTCAGAAGGCTGATTTCTTATTTAATGATATATATTATATGAAAAGAAAATTATATACTAAAACTATACTAAAAGAATAGAAGATAGGATTTAATCAGAAGGCTTGAAAGGAAAAGAAATGGGATGATAATAAAATCTTGTGACTGACCAGAGTCCTGACACAGCTGGACTGTGATTGGCCATTAATTAAAAACAACCACACAAGACCAATCACAGATCCACCTGTTGCATTCCACAGCAGCAGATAATCATTGTTACATTGTTACATTTCCTTTCTGAGGCCTCTCAGCTTTTTGGGAGAATAACATCCTAACAAAAGGATTTTTCCAAAAAAACACATCCGTGACACGCTTTTGGCGGCTCCCCCCGCAGGTGGATCGCGGCGGGGACGTGGAGGAGCGGGGCAAGATCCTGGTGTCCCTGATGTACAGCACCCAGCAGGGCGGGCTCATCGTGGGCATCGTGCGCTGCGTGCACCTGGCGGCCATGGACGCCAACGGATACTCGGATCCCTTCGTCAAGCTGTGAGTCCCCGGGGCTGGAGCCGCCTGCTCTCCTTCCCCTGCAGCAAATTAAGGGAATTCAGGGCGAATCTGGTGTCACTGGTGTCATCCTGCGGGTCCTGCTTGAGCTTCACCTCTGGTGGTGTCCCCAGTGTGGGTGGTGTTGAGCTAGCCCGTGGGTCTGTCACTCCCCAGTGCGCAAATCCCTGTGGAATTGCCCCATGGAGAATCCCAGAATTGTTAAAGGATGGAAGAGACTTCAGGAGTCCAAGCTTTGACTGATCACCTTGTGTCTGCAAGCAGAGGGCACGTGGGGGATGTGGGGTGGGTTTGGGGCTGGTGCCAACTTCCACTTACCAACTTCGAACTACCAACTTCCAAATTCCAGCTTTCCCGGGATCCATAGGAGTGGGATTCCCACCCGTGACTCACCAAGGGTGTGGTGGGACTCCAGGGACAGAGGAAGCTGGGGGAAAAGGAATCCTTCTCTCCAGCTCTGACCCACCCTGGCTGCAGGACAGAGGTGGCTCTGTGTCCCTCCATGCCCTGCTTGCTGCTCCATAAACCCACGTGGCTCCTGGGAATCCTGTGGGGTTTTTATCCCAACCTCGTGAGCTGCACCACAGAGAAATCCCGTAACCATTCCTGGTTTTTTCCTTTGCCTTCATAAAAATCCTCAGTTCTCCCTAAAACTCATTCAGTGCCTCTCATGCTGAACATATTCTGCTCATCTCTTTGTAGCTCAGTGGAGCTGAGCAGCTTCCCTTCCCAGTCTCTCTTAATTTGTTGCATTTTCCATTTCCAGAAACAGAAGATGGTGGCTTTATATTTTTAAATCAGTGATCTAATTAATCCCAGCCCTAAATTGAGTTCTGGATCTGCAGCCAGGCTGCACAGCCCCAGCCCCACACTTTTCCCACATACTCTGGAAGGTGGGAGGAGAGACTGGCTCTAAATAAATCTCTTCCAGCCCAGAAGATCACTTTTTAAGCTTATGAACTCCCACTGTTCTTGCACTTGAATTTTGAGCTGTTTTCTGTTGCCCCCAGTTGGCTGAAACCTGACATGGGAAAAAAGGCCAAGCACAAGACACAGATTAAGAAGAAAACGTTGAATCCTGAATTTAACGAGGTATGGATGGATATTTTTTATATTATTAAATCAATTCACTGAGTGCTGTGTTGAGTGGAGGAGGTGGAAGACAAACTCCCCAAGCTTTGGCTCTTTGCTCAAGCTCCTTTCCCACTCCTGTGCCCAGGAATATTTTTGGGAATGACTTTGCCATGGCAGCACCACACACCCTGAAATCTCCCTGCATCCCAGCTGGGCATGTGGGTAGGATCAGCATTCCTGGGGGAGGAAACTGGAAATTCTCCACTGGTGCTGCTTTGATGGGACAGCTGGAAAGGGCTCACGTAGGTGCAAGGGGTGAGCTCAGCCCCTGGAAAAGAGGTGCCACAGGGAGGGAGAGTTTTTCCTTCATTAATTCCATTAATTACTGCAGCTTTTAGGGGGTGTTTTTCTTTCTGCAGGAGTTCTTCTATGACATCAAACACAGCGACCTGGCCAAGAAATCCCTGGACATTTCCGTCTGGGATTACGACATCGGGAAATCCAACGACTACATTGGTGAGCCTTGAGCTGGGAGGCTCTGCCCTCTGGGGCAGGGTTGGGTGCCTGGAATGGGGTTTGCTGGATGTCAGGAGGGTCTGGGTCACCTGCCCAGGTGGGATGATGGAATCTGGTGGGTGCACCCCCACACTGCCCCGCCTCCAGCATCTTTTGGGCAGGAAAAGCATCTCCAGGCATTTCCATTAGATTTTTGAGCCAGAAGATGGAAAAAGCGTTGCAGGGTGTGAGGTGTGTGCCCATGGCAGGACTTCCTGGCACATCAGCACCACTGTGGTTATGACTCCACAAAGGGATAATCAATGCTACTTACTCGAGGTCACCAAATGTGGCAGCATTCTTCACTCAGGGTGACTATTCAACTTTTCAACTAAATGTTGAATTTGCAAGGCAATCTTGACATGGGAAGAGATGAGAATCTTGACTCCATGTTTCAGAAGGCTGATTTATTATTTTATTATATATGTTATATTAAAAGAAAATTACATACTAAAACTGTACTAAAAGAATATAGAAAGATTTCATCAGAAGGCTAGAAAAGAAAAAAAAAAAATCTTGTAACTGACCAGAGAGTCTGAGACAACTATACTAAAAGATTAGAAGAAAGGATTTCATCAGAAGGCTAGCAAGCAATAGAAAAGGATGATAATAAAATTTTGGATTGACCAGAGAGTCCAAGACAGGTAGACTGTGATTGGCCATTAATTAAAAACAACCAATCAAAAAAAAAAAAAAAAAAAAATGCACCTGTTGCATTCCACAACAGTAGATAATTTTTATCTATGTTTTGTTTCTAAAGCCTCTGAGCTTCTCAAGAGAAAAAAATCTTAGCAAAAAGATTTTTTCATAAAACATGTCCATGACAGCACCACCTGTGGATACAAACTCTGCTCTTCTCCCCTCTCCCCAGGCGGTTGCCAGCTGGGAATCACGGCCAAGGGCGAGCGCTTGAAACACTGGTACGAGTGCTTGAAGAACAAGGACAAGAAGATCGAGCGCTGGCACACCCTGCAGAACGAGAACCACGTGGCCAGTGATTAAAGGAGCCTCTGCCCAGCCCTCCCTGCCCTCTGCCACACCCCTGTAGGTCCCTGATGTCCCCAATGTCCCCGATGTCCCTGGTGTCCCGTCTTCCAGCGCAGCCACGCCTTGCTACAGCCTCTGATCCCAGGGTCCTCCTCCTCCAAACCCCCTCCACTGGAAACTCCCCCAGATCTTTTCTATTCTCCTTTATTTATTTTCAGCTGGGGGAGGGAGGCTGTTGAGTTCTCCTGGTGTGTAATTTTGGCAAGCAATAGTTCCCTCCTGACTGTTCCCCCCTCTCTCTCCGTTCCCGTCGCGTTTCTGACGCTCTGTGTCCCTCCAGCCTCCGCTCCTCGCGTCTCCCCATGGAGGAGATGGGAGTGCTGGGCTTGGGAGCATCAGCCTGTCCTCGCTTGTGTGATCTCAATACCTCAGTTGCAATAAGGAAAAAAAAGCTCCTTGGCTTTGGTGTGGGTGTCACCGTTCGCCTGGTGTCCGTGTCGTCGTGGTTAGGCCAAAAAATCCGGTGTCACCGGAGCCATCCTGCGAGTCCTGCTTGAGCTTCTCCTCTGCTCTGGCCCACCTGAGCAATGTTGTGGCACATCCTTTGCTGAGAAGATCCACCACCAACACCATGACAGCGACAAGGAGGGTTTAGGGAGCTCTGTGCTCGCAGGGGAGCAGGTTTGGGTTGGTTTTTGTCCTTTCGCCCGAGGAATTCGGGGGCTCCGCTGCTGTAGGAGCCCAGCGGTGTTTTAGGGTTGTGACTACCTCCTCCTCACCCTGAGCTGTGTAGTGGTGACTGGCCGAGCCCTGAAGGGCTCCTAGGTCCCCTCAGACCCCTCCTGCTCCCAAGGATTTTCGGTTCCTCAGGAGGGAAGCTGAGGGAGCTGCTGCTTCCCCCCAAACCCCTGATGTGTGCAAGGATTTTTGCTTTAAACCTCCACAACTCCTGCAATTAGCTGGAACAATCTGAGATCTTCCAAACTTGGGTTGTTTTGGTTTGGTTTCCTTTCGTTTTTCCCAGTTTTCTGCCCAAGAACCCCTCAGCCTGCATTTTAAGGATGGCCTGGAGCTGTTGGATCTGGTCTGGACAGCAGGAGAGCACAGACTCTCTGCATCTGCTGCTGCTGCTGGGCTCTGGAACCTTTCCCTGGCTCTGGAACCATTCCCTGGTTTTGGAACCATTCCCTGGTTTTGGAACCTTTCCCTGGCTCTGGAACACCCCAAGCCCTGTGGATAGGAGCACACTAAGCACTAATGGAATACATGGAATTTTCTTGTCACACTGAGCATGGTGTGTGAAACGTCCCCCTGCATCCTCTGCTGCTGCTGCCCTCTCTTTGAGTTGGATGAGTTCTGGTTTTCCTGGTATTTTATCTCCCCCCAGCCCCAGCAGAACTTGCTGATGTGCTGTGGGTGACACAAACCCCAGCCTGGCACAGGTTTCCCTCCCTCCTTGGATCTCCAGGTGGGAAAAGCCAACCCAACCCATCCCAGAGGGTCCAGACAGAGCTGGGAATCCTCTTCCATCACCCCAGGTGATTTGATGGTTCTTGGGGTGGAATGGAAGAGGATACCTGGAAATTTTCCTCTTTTTCATGGAATTTTTGTGCCACTCACAGTGGCATCCCTGAGCCAGGACCAGACTGAAACAATTCCATTTTTTTTTTTGGACTGTTCCCCTCTGCACCCTGTGCTGAAACCTCCCTGCTCCAGGCCCAGCTGAGCTGTGGGATGGTGGGATCCAGGATCAATGGTTGGATTCTCCCTTTTTCAACCTTAATGACTCCAAGTTGCCACCACCCTTTCCAGAGGGATGGACCTGGCCCAAACAATTCCTGTTCATACCCAGAGCAGCCCTTGGGCACGGAGCTGTGCTGGGGAAACATGTGGCTGAGGGTAAAAAAATCTTTAAAAATCATTATTTAAGAAATTCCTTAATTTCTCCCAGTCCTGCAGCAGCCCAGCCTCCTTTGTATGTGCAGAACAACTCACTTGAGGTTACCCTTTTCCCATCCTGTATTCCCATCCCTGTTCAGCCTGCTTTCTTTGGGAAAAGGATACTCAGATCATCTCTTTGCACCTCCAAAAATCAAGTGCAACTTGCCAATCTCCTCAGTAATGTGCAAAACCACAGCCCTGGTCTCTGCCCCCTCCTCTTCTCAGTTTTTCTGATGGTTATTCCTGCCCTGAATGAGTTCTTTTTGTTGTAAATAAAGCATGCACCTATGGATTGGGAATGGTGAAAAACAAACAAACGGAAAAAAAAAAAAAGGCAAAAAAAAGAAAATTAAAAGCCTCTTCTACTGCTGTTTGCATTCAGACTCGCATGCAGTGATTTTACAGCCAAATATCAGTTTACAACTGTTAAAGAGAAAAAGAAAACCTTACACAGGAATTAGAAATCCTCCAGTCTTCCGCTGCATGCAGCACAACATCCTCTCTTGATGTGGTATCTAATAAAGTGAGACTATTGGAAAAGAACAAAAAAAATTACTGATTTTTGGCTTCTTTCATTCCCTGTGGGAAGAGGAACCTCGTGGGGTGGATAAAGGGGCTGGTTCTGGGAATTTCTGGTGGGTTGGGGCTGCTGGAATTGGGTTGGAGATGTGGAGAAGTTTGGGGTGGTTGGGAGGGAGATCCTGGCTTGGGGTAACAGGAATTCCGGGGTTTGGGAATATCCTGGGTAAAATCATGCAGGTTTAAATCATCCACGGGCTTCCCTCCCTTGGTGTCTGGGAGTGAAAACCCTGAGGAAAAGCAGGAATGGTGGTGGAAGAATTTTTTCGTTCTCAGTTCCCTCTCGCCCCAAGTTTGGGAAGGAGGAGCTGCTCCCTCGAGGGTGGCAGCTCCAACCAAGAAAGGATTTCCTTCTATTTCTTTCCTCTTTTTTCCTTTTATTTATTTCCTTTTATTTATATATTTTTATTTCCTTTTGTTGGGGCGTTTTTAGGCTCAATTCCCAGGGCAGGTCTGGTGGGTGTCACGGAGATATTTTATAAAAAATTCCTTTGCCAGGACTTTTTCCTCCTGAGAAGCTTGGAGGCCTCAGGAACGAAATGTAATCAATAATTATCTGCTGCTGTGGAATGCAACAGGTGCCTCTGTGATTGGTCTCGTGTGGTTGTTTTTAATTAGTGGCCAATCACAGCCCAGCTGTCTCGGACTCTCTGGTCAGTCACAAGCTTTTATTATCATTCCATTCTTTTCCTTTGCTAGCCTTCTGAGGAAATGCTTTTTCTTTCTTTAGTGTAGTTTAAGTATATAATAATTAGTAAATAATAAATATTTTAGTAAATAATAAACAATAAAAACTATACTAAAATACTTTTAGTATATAATAAACATATAATAAATGAATGAATAAATTATTAGTATATAATAAATAGTATATAATAAATAATATGAAATCTATTTAATTTATTAATATTAATATTAATATTAACTTATTATAAATATTTTTTAATTAATTTATAAATATTAATTTACTTTATAAATGTTTATAATTAGTATTTATTAATATATATTTAATATATATAGAATTTATATTATATTAATAATATAGTAGTTATTATAATATAATATCTGAATAATATATAAATATATAAAGATATATAACTATATAAATATATAAATATAAAATATATAGATATATAAATATATAGATATATAAATATATAAATATATAAATAAAAATAATAAATCAGCCTTCTGAAACCCGGAGTCAAGATTCTCGTGTCTTCCCTCGTCCCGGTACCCCTGCAAACACCGGGCCGGTGGCGATGCCCGGAGACAGCAGCAGATGTCACTGGAGCTCCAGGCACGGAGCAGGGAGGACGCACCGCAAGGATGTCTCGATATTTTCGGGAATTTGGGAATTTTTGGGGCAATCGCTCCTCCTGCCGCCCAAACCTTCAGCGTCAGGGAAGAGTTGAGGCTTTGTCCTCTGGGAAAAACCTTCCCAGCAGCCTTAAAACTGAGCTTTAACTTCTTTTTATGGTTTTGTTTTCCAGCGTTGTGTTCTCCTCGTTGATTTTTCATCCTCTTTTCCATTTCCAGCAGAGAAATCCCAGGGGAGGAATTCCAGTGCCATCCAAGACCTCCCAGCCAAGAAATCCAACCCAGGAGGTCCCAGCAGGGACCATCCAGCTGAAGAGATGGATTCCAGAGATGAAGATTGGGATGAGGATCCTCTGGGATGAAGGCGCTGTGGTGTTTGTGGATGAGGCAGAACCAGCCGTGGTTGGTTGGTTGTTTGAGAATTCCTGCATGGAAAATTATTCCAAAGAGGGATTCTGCTCAATTCCATGGGAATAAGAGAGGAACATTTATTCCCCCTAATTCCTGTTTCTCCTCCCATTTTCTTCTCAGCCTCTCCAGGAGGAATTGCAAATTTGGCTCGTTCAGGACCATTATTGAGTCTCCTGCTTCTGTAGGCGGCTCCCCAGTTTTAATTCCAGCTCGGCACATCGGAACCATTCTGCTCTCCCAGCCCCTTCCCTCCTGTGCTCATTGGATTTGCACCTTTGGAGCAACCAAAATTTGGATTCCCATCCTGGTGCTGGCCAGGCCAGGCAGGAGCAGGAATTTACAGTGGTTGGGAAATCAATTCCAGTTTGTTCTTCATCCAGGGGGCTGGAAATGGGGATGGCAGCAGCTCCTTTAGCAGCTGCCAGGACCTGGGGCAGCTGATTGTCTCCTGTGGCATAATTCATTTAAAATTCTATTTTATGGAGCTCTCCTCATCTCCTGCCTGATCCTGGGGCATCAGGAGCAGGACAGAAACCTTCCCTGGCTTCCCATCTCCTGGGAGGAAAAAAAAAATAAAATAAATAAACCAAGCTTTTCCTCTTTAACATTTCACTTAAAAAACAGAGGAGCTCAAATAAATAAATCCCTCCTCTATCCGCTTTTCCAAAAGCCAGCGGGGAGAAATCTCTTTATCTCCCAGGGCAGAGATAACAATGTAATTAGGAGCTGGGATCAATGGCTCTCATCTCATCAGCCTCAAATAAATGGTTCTGTTCCCACCCCTCCTCTGGGCTGCTGGCCACTGCAGTGCTGAGGGTCTTGCTGCCATCTGGAGAGGCCATGAAGACTTTCCTGGGAGGAAAATCTGAATTTTGGGATGTTTATTCCACAGGGGAATGTTGGATCTGGAGTAGGAGAGGCCAGCAGAGACCCCCAGGGAATGCTCAGCTCTTCCCGTGCCAGTGAAATACTGAGCTGTGTTTGAGTGGTTTGAGAATTTCCTGACTTTTTTGGGGAAGGAGAATCCAGACAGTAAATATCAGATTTTTTTTTTAATTT